ATGATCATAATGACATCATAACCATCTTTCACCACAATTTCAATTGTTTGTATCACAGACATGAAAAAGCTGTAAGTATCTATTTTTGACTCAACTCTTCCTGTTTCTGTTTCAAAATAAAAGTCCCCTGACAGAATCCCTTCATTTGTCAACAGGAGGTGTTTTATTGAGACATATTATCAGGACCATGTTGCTGATGACACAGCAGCTGCACGGCTTCATGAATGTGGAAACACAGAGGTTGCAGCAGCAACACTGTCTGTGTGAACACTGCACACGTCAGTGTTTCGAGTCGTTTTAGCGTTCTAGTGTGGACAGAGATATTTTGTAAATGAAAGCTCATGTGTACGGAGGAGAAACAAAAATATCTGGACACATATAGACAGGCCTGAGCCAGAGGTCGTATGAACATCATACTTGAGTCTGATCTCAGGTCAGATCTGAACAGCCTGCTGCAGGCTTATGCTGTCAGCAACACACCTGACCAATCAGAGGGCTCAGAGAGCTGACATCATATTCAACCAGATCTGCCAGGCTGAGAAATAAATCATGACATCGAACATCATGTTCAGAGCTGAAATAAAATAAATCACAACTGCATCTACAGGAAATATTCTTAAAGGAATACTCCGACGATTTGGGAGTTATGCCCTTTCTCTATCATTTTCATATTGAGACAACATGATTGATATCTTTTTTGTGTCTGTACGTCCAGTGGCTGGGTCTCAGTGGTTAGCATTGCGGCTTAGCTTAGCAAATACAACTGAAGTCTATAGGGGGTCAGTAGCCTACTCGGTAAAAGTGAACAAATAAACGTTACAGAAACCCTGAAGCTGGCATTTCTGCATGTGCATTTAAAATAAACATGTTTAAACATTAATTAGAAAAATGAAAGACCTTTTTAGTCGTTTTAGAAGGAGTCTGATACACGGAACTATAGTGTGTCATGTTGTCTCAATATGAAAATGATAGAGAAAGGGCATAACTCCCAAATCGTCGGCGTATTCCTTTAAACCGAAAACTGATGCACAGTCAGCTGAACACTGATTGACGCACCCTGAATTAATTTACCTGCTCAATAAATACATAAATGTTTATCTACAGTTTCAGTAAAACCCTGCAGCCTGAGATGACGAGATCACCTTCATCTCCACACAGACCGACAGCAGAACAAACACTCTGTTGTTCTCTTACAAAGATTAACGATCACTGATGAGTGAAGCTGCTGACGACAAACACTGTCCCATGACTCAGGACCTCAGGGAATAGATTTTCTAACACATTCCTGATAATAACTCTGCAACTCCTCCTCCTCCTCCTCCTCCTCCTCCTCCTCAGTTATCATCAGACAGCTGCAGGACGAGTTCAGACAACAACAGAAACAGGTCATTATTCCTCATAAAGCTGTCTGATCTCTTTCTACGGAAGTCCACTGCACCCAAAAAGAAAACGAGATTCAGTAAAATAAAACATGTGTCTGAATTCTGGTCAAAGCTGAAGATCAGAAACATCATGAGGAGGTTCAGTGGTTTGTTCAGCTCAGTAGTAATTTGGACTGGATCAATACATTGTGCTGTATCATTATTTCAAGTGATACCTGCTGCAACAATTAGCTGATTAACTGAAGAATTGATTGACAGAAATAAATTGTTTGTTCTGAGTCATTTCTTATGGAAAAAAGTCAATATTTTTCATATCAGCGTCTCCACTCTAAGGATTTCATGTCACAACAAAATGAATATTTGTTTGTTTCTTTTTGTTGTTGTTGTTTAATGTTTTAAAGATGAAACAATGAACAGAGAAAATATTCAACAGATTAATCAATAATGGAAACAATCAGTGATATTTATTCAAGGAGTGATCAGAAGTGTTTCTGACCTGCAGACAGTCAGCCTGTTTCCCCTGCTCCCTATGCTAAGCTAGGCTAACTGGCTGCTGGCTAACACACCAAGATATGCAGCAATGTGTGCACAAAGACAAAGAAGAAGAAGCGGGTAAACAGGACGTAAAAAAAACTTGTAAAAAATCAGCTTTGCAAATGTTTCATATCCGACATGTTAGTCAGAGCTCAGAAAGTCTCACGCTGAGTATAAACAGACCGTCTGTTTGTTTGTGAGAGGAGCCCTCAGGGACTTCATCTAATATGTTTATCAAACATCCAGTTTAATGACCCTGAATTATTCTGTACAGGCAGCTCAGTGACTCAGTCCTCTCCTTCAGGACTCAAACTACAGTTCCCACAATGCTTTTCATAGACTAACAAGGCAGACACACAGACCAGAGAGGAAGCAGTCTGACACTGTGAAAAAACAACAACAACAACAACAACAATGCATGAACCAACCCACAAAGACCTGACTGATTTGTAACGCATCTCACAGGCAGCAGGTAACAGCAACTGACATCTGCTAGCATCTTTAACAGCTGCTAAGAGATGCTTACATCTGCTAGCATCTTTAACAACTTCTAACAGCTACTAACATCTGCTAACATCTTTAACAGCTGCTAACAGCTGCTTACATCTGCTAGCATCTTTAACAGCTACTAAGAGATGCTTACATCTGCTAGCATCTTTAACAGCTGCTAAGAGATGCTTACATCTGCTAGCATCTTTAACAGCTGCTAACAGCTGCTTACATCTGCTAGCATCTTTAACAGCTGCTAAGAGCTGCTTACATCTGCTAGCATCTTTAACAGCTGCTAACAGCTACTAACATCTGCTAGCATCTTTAACAGCTGCTAACAGCTGCTTACATCTGCTAGCATCTTTAACAGCTGCTAAAAGCCACTAACATCTGCTAGCATCTTAAACAGCTGCTAAGAGCTGCTTACATCTGATAGCATCTTTAACAGCTGCTAACAGCCACTAACATCTGCTGGCATCTTTAACAGCTGCTAACAGCCACTAACATCTGCTAGCATCTTTAACAGCTGCTAAGAGCTGCTTACATCTGCTAACATCTTTAACAGCTGCTAACAGCTACTAACATCTGCTAGCATCTTTAACAGCTGCTAACAGCTACTAACATCTGCTAGCATCTTTAACAGCTGCTAACAGCTGCTTACATCTGCTAGCATCTTTAACAGCTGCTAAAAGCCACTAACATCTGCTAGCATCTTAAACAGCTGCTAAGAGCTGCTTACATCTGATAGCATCTTTAACAGCTGCTAACAGCCACTAACATCTGCTGGCATCTTTAACAGCTGCTAACAGCCACTAACATCTGCTAGCATCTTTAACAGCTGCTAAGAGCTGCTTACATCTGCTAACATCTTTAACAGCTGCTAACAGCTACTAACATCTGCTAGCATCTTTAACAGCTGCTAACAGCTACTAACATCTGCTAACATCTTTAAAAGCTGCTAACAGCCACTAACATCTGCTAGCATCTTTAACAGCTGCTAAGAGCTGCTTACATCTGCTAGCATCTTTAACAGCTGCTAACAGCTACTAACATCTGCTAGCATCTTTAACAGCTGCTAACAGCTGCTTACATCTGCTAGCATCTTTAACAGCTGCTAACAGCTACTAACATCTGCCAGCATCTTTAATAGCTGCTAAGAGCTGCTTACATCTGCTAGCATCTTTAATATTTGCTACCAGCTACTACCAGCTACTAGCAACTACTAGCAACTACTAACAATTACTAACATCTTCTAACATCTTTCAACATCTGCTAGCATCTTTAAAAGCTGCTGACATCTGCTAACTACTAGCAGCAACTGACATCTACTAATGTCTTTCAACAGCTGCTAACATCTGCTAGCATATTTAACAGCTGCTAAGAGCTGCTTACATCTGCTAACAGCTACTAACATCTGCTAGCATCTTTAACAGCTGCTAACAGCTACTAAGAGCTGCTTACATCTGCTAACAGCTACTAACATCTGCTAGCATCTGTAACAGCTGCTAACAGCTACTAACATCTGCTAACATCTTTCAACAGCTGCAAACAGCTGCTAACATCTGCTAACAGCTGCTAACATCTTTCAACAGCTGCAAACACCTACTCACAGCTGCTAACATCTACTAACAGCTGCTAAAATCTTTCAACATCTGCTAACAGCTGCAAACAGCTGCAAACACCTGCTGCTAACATCTGCTAACAGCTGCAAACAGCTGCAAACACCTACTGCTAACATCTGCTAACAGCTGCTAACAGCTGCAAACAGCTAGTCATAGCTGCTAACATCTGCTAACATCTGTTAACAGCTGCAAACAGCTACTCACAGCTGCTAACAGCTGCTAACATCTTTCAGCATCTGCTAACAGCTGCAAACAGCTACTCACAGCTGCTAACATCTGCTAACATCTGCTAACAGCTGCTAACACATCACATGTTAAAGTTTTGGTTCCAAACCCTGGAGCTGAGGCCCTCCAGAGGATCTCTAGATAAATCTGAGGGCTCACAAAAACAATTCTGTTCAACCAAAACTTTATTTTTTCCGAGATTTTGACCTCGTGAAGCCTCTGAACTGTCTTAAATTAAAACAGTCTGAGAAGGAAACGTGACTCTGACGTCGACACTGAGGACAAAAACTGTGACCAGAGGGTTCCTCATGTCAGGAGGAAAAACCATCACTGCTCCTGAATCAGTTTAACAGACTCGATGATTCCATCAATGACACAAAGTTATGAGGAGACTCTGTGTGAACATTTGTGCATCTAGTTTTACCAGATGAGGCAGAAACATTAGGGAACATTAGAGGAACATTAGGGAACATTAGAGGAACATTAAGCTGAGATGTGAATCCACGCTCCACACAGTGAGGAGGTGGTTTGTGTTCTCTGAGCAGAGCAAGATGTGTCTGTATGAAAAAGCAGCTCCAGAGTCGGAGAGAGGAAATCCTCCCAGCTGACTAACACGACGTCACTGTGGTGAGAGTGTGGACAGAGAGAAAGAGGAAAGTGTCTCCTGACTGAGAGTTTCCTCTGAGTCATCAGTCCTCTGCTGCAGGGAGACCACGGAAAGAAAGAGCAGCGTGGAGGAGATAATTACCCAGGATGGAGTGAACACGGACGGAGAGCTGAGTCCTCAGGATCAGGATGGGCTTCTTCCCTTTACTGTGGACACAATGAAGACAGACACAGAGACAGTTAGAGCAGAGACATCCAGAGACAGTTAGAGCAGAGACACAGAGACAGTTAGAGCAGAGACACAGAGACAGTTAGAGCAGAGACACACAGAGACAGTTAGAGCAGAGACACAGAGACAGTTAGAGCAGAGACATCCAGAGACAGTTAGAGCAGAGACACAGAGACAGTTAGAGCAGAGACACAGAGACAGTTAGAGCAGAGACACAGAGAGACAGTTAGAGCAGAGACACAGAGACAGTTAGAGCAGAGACATCCAGAGACAGTTAGAGCAGAGACACAGAGACAGTTAGAGCAGAGACACAGAGACAGTTAGAGCAGAGACACACAGAGACAGTTAGAGCAGAGACACAGAGACAGTTAGAGCAGAGACACAGAGACAGTTAGAGCAGAGACACACAGAGACAGTTAGAGCAGAGACACAGAGACAGTTAGAGCAGAGACACACAGAGACAGTTAGAGCAGAGACACAGAGACAGTTAGAGCAGAGACACACAGAGACAGTTAGAGCAGAGACACAGAGAGAGTTAGAGCAGAGACACACAGAGACAGTTAGAGCAGAGACACAGAGACAGTTAGAGCAGAGACACACAGAGACAGTTAGAGCAGAGACACAGAGACAGTTAGAGCAGAGACACACAGAGACAGTTAGAGCAGAGACACAGAGACAGTTAGAGCAGAGACACAGAGACAGTTAGAGCAGAGACACACAGAGACAGTTAGAGCAGAGACATCCAGGGGCATCTCAGGGGGACATTTAGTTCCACACTTATACCTCATAGTGACACTGAAAGCTGACCAGTATGACCAGTACGTCCAGTCGTTAAAAAAATTGATTCTTATTATCTGAGGTGCAGAACGATGTGAAGGTGAAAAGAAGTTGAGGCTTTTATTTTGGTGATCCACCAACAACATGGCGTCATATGAGTTTTGAGAAAAACAAAGCTGAAGTGAGATGGAATAAAACGGCTAACAGTCCGAGGACACGAACCTTCAGCTGCTCCAACAGCAACTTGAATTCAGTCAGCTCAGCACAAACTCTCCGTCGGATCAGCAAACTTTCTGTTGCTGCTGTTACACATGTCAGACTGTAAAAATAATGGATGTAGCCACCATAACGCCCCCCCCATAGGTTTGTAGAGTCCTGTTGTGAAGCCTTGAGTTCAGCACTTCAGCTGTCGCCATCTTGTTTTTTTGGAGCCACAAGTGACCATATTTGGGTGAGAGGGTGGAGCTGACTGAGAAGCTGACAACACTATCACACTGGCCCAACGCAGCATTGTACGGTGTCTGCTCGGATCGTAAGCGACTACAAATCTCAGATCGATCTGTTTCCATGGAAACTGTAGGACAACAACAGCCCAGCCTTTTAGATATTTCCTGTAGGGACGTTAGCACACAGAGTAAAGAGGAAACAGCAGAGGCACTTTATCAACCCGCTGAGTACTGCCATTAGCATCAAGCTAGCAAAGAATGTTCTTTCTTCATAATGGAGGATATAAAGGAATCAAACTCACAGATAGTGTCTGGGTCTTTACTCAGCACAGCTGCAGAGGCTACCAACTGCATCTCAAACACACCACACCATTTATCATTCTGTTCTTAGTTTAATCAAACTCAACACTTACTGTTTCTGACAAAAAAGACTTTTCTGTTTCCTGTTTCTGTTTCAAATTAAAAGCCCCTTATCATTTCAGCTGAGAGAATCTCTTCATTTTCTAAAAAGGCTTTCATTGTGAAACATTTGCAGGAACTTCCTGTGGAGGATTCAGTGACTTCATGGTTTTCATGTGGTACTTCAAATGTAGCTCCGCCCATCTGGTGACACTTTTTACATCACTACAGTAACAGCTCAGCTGGAATATGAACAGACACAGTGTCTGAGGTAATCATGATAATAATAATAATAATAATAACAGAACAAGAATAATCTGATGACATCACACAAAGGTGACCACTGATGATTGGTCGTGGACCATTGTGTAGTCTGTCATGTCTGTCAGCCAAGTCACGGCACGGTTTTGTGACTCCACAGTCACCTGATCTGACAGAGACTGTAGGAACAGACAAATATGTCATGTCATCTGAACCCATCATCAGAGGACCTGCAGGTTTTGGTTTTATTTTTCAGGAGGGTGACACTTGATTAGACTCCGCCCTCTGTGAGCCCCAGCGATGGGGTCTGAGTTCTACAGCTGCTGCTGAAGGTCTGTCTCTGGAGATTCAGCCTGCTCTCCTCCCAGTAAATCGTCTCCTCTCAGCAGATGGAGGCGGAGGGACGGAGGCGTGTATTTCTGTCTGCAGCTCCTGATCTGTGGGATCTTCTGCAGGAGGATTTAAAGATGAACTCATTGGTTCCTCTCTGTTGTTTCAAAGCTCTGCTGCAGGACGTCTGTACTCAGTCATCTATGTGCTGACGTCAGGGTGGATTTCAGCTGCTCTCTATGATTGTGTGCAGTTGCCCCTGAGTTATTTTAATGATTCACTCACAGCAGATATTTACATACTTTTAGTCTTTGTAGTAATCTCATTCTGTGTTTCAGACTTCTTGATTTAGAGCTGCATATTATTCATTTCGTGTCACTGCCTGTCTCAGACACTAATGAAAGAGATGTTTTTAGTTTTTCTGGTTAAATAAAGGTTTAATAAAAAATAATAAATGAAACGGAGGAATGTTACAGTGCTGATCGGGGTTGAACACTCGTTTGTGTCTCTGCGTGTTTCTCCAACAGATCCGACCTCTCAATGCTCCAGCTGTGACTCTTCTGTAAAGCTGACTCAGGTGTGACGAGAAACACGTCTGGAAGGAGCTTCATTAACTCTCTGTGTCTGCATAGTTTTTACTTCCAGTAGTTATTGCAGCTCTTCTTTAACAGTATGACTGTTACAGTCTGCAGCCAATCAGGTCAGACTACTGTTTCATTACATCACACCCTGAACTTTGACCTTCTTACTCACATACCTGTTACCTTGGAGATAAAACACTGAGCTCACCTGACGGAGGTCAACCCTCAGAGCTGTGCTGTTATTTCATAATGTCTGTAGTTTAACAGAGTTTCGTCCTTTTGTTGTTGTTGCTAACATATGTATAATTATAAACAATTAATATTCCTGTTATTACTGTTCGACTGGTCATCAGTTAGTTGAATGTACTGTCAGCCGTCAGTGTGACAGATGTTAATCAGCTGTTAATCAGCTGTCATCAGTCTGCAGCTCAGTCGATGTGACGTATTGTCCCCTGTGCAGAGGATTGTGGGTCAGAACAGACAGTGAAACGTGCTGACTCACAGACTGCAGAATGTGACAGGATGTTGTAGAACATCTTGATATTTTTGGCATTCTGCATCTGACACATTCTGTACTGGGACATGTCAAATCTTTTTCGGTCACACTGAGCAGTCTGTGGGACATTTAGAAACACTCCTCATTCTCTGTCCTCCATCTTTAATTACAGCACGCTCTGAGGTCTGATCTGATCTGTGCAGCAACAACACAGGAAGCTCTCAGCTTCTACACACGACCCAGAGAACTGATCCCAGAACAGCAGGTAGAGACAACTGACACACTCTGAACTGATCTGAGAACAGCTCAGCTTCCACACGAACCTACGCAGACAGACTGTGGCCTGCTGGGATTAGAGTATGGAAAGAACGACAGCACGAGGTATGGAAAGAATGAGAGACAGGCAGTAAGGGAGACAGACAGACAGACAGAGAGAGAGACAGACAGAAGGACACATACACAGACAGACAGAGGGACAGACAAAGAGAATCATGCAGACTCAGGGACACTGAGGGAAACCAGAGACAGAGTTTGTGTTCGTCTAAAAAAAGAAACAATTTTGAGATTTTTTTAGCTCATTGTAGCACACACACACACACACACACACACACACTGACGTGTACAGCCTGTTTTTATACTTGGTCTCTGCTTACAGATGCCACACAGTCAGCTGGGAACACACACTCAATAAACTGTGTGTGTGTGTGTGTGTGTTATTTTCCCATCATCCAGTTCACAGTGGAAGTCACTGAAACGTCTTTTCCACCAGATCAGCTCTGGTTCCTGAACCAGCTCCAGTCAGGACTCTCAGATCCTCGATGAGATCTACTGAACCAGTTCTGATCAGATCCAGGACGTGTCATCATCAGAGGACGTCACATGATGCACAACAACAGTAACAGTAACAATAAGTATCAATGACCGATCAATCTGATCGCCTGATGACTTTTGTTCTGTTATTACAGATATTGTTTGTATTTGTCACCTGTGGCTCCACAGTGATGCGTTCAGGACTGAGACACCAATTCATCAAACTCCACCGTACAGATCAACGGTAACAACAGAACCATACGTTCTGTAGCCATCTGGTTTTTGCTCTGGCCGTCACGTTGCCATGGAAATGGCGGAGCAATATTTGTCGTGATGGACCAGGTGTGCTGTTCTGCTGATCTGAGCGCATTTTAAATGTCTTATTGACCACTCAGATCACTCGGTCAGAACTACCTTTAACTACATTTAGATATTGTACTAGTAAGGTTTGAATGCAGGACTTTCACATGTAGTGGAGTACGTTCACATGTAGTGGAGTACATTCACATGTAGTGGAGTACATTCACATGTAGTGGAGTACGTTCACATGTAACGGAGTACTTTCACATGTAGTGGAGTACCTACACATGTAGTGGAGTATGTTCATATGCAGTGCAGTACTTTCACATGTAACGGAGTACGTTCACATGTAGTGGAGTACGTTCACATGTAATGGAGTACTTTCACATGTAGTGGAGTACTTTCACATGTAGTGGAGTATGTTCATATGTAGTGGAGTACGTTCACATATAACGGAGTACTTTCACATGTAGTGAAGTACGTTCACATGTAGTGGCGTATGTTCATATGTAGTGGAGTAAGTTCACATGTAGTGAAGTACGTTCACATGTAGTGGCGTATGTTCATATGTAGTGAAGTACGTTCACATGTAGTGGAGTACCTTCACATGTAGTGGCGTATGTTCATATGTAGTGGAGTACGTTCACATGTAGTGGAGTACGTTCACATGTAGTGGAGTACTTTCACATGTAGTGGAGTACTTTCACATGTAGTGGAGTACGTTCACATGTAGTGGAGTACGTTCACATGTAGTGGAGTACGTTCACATGTAGTGGAGTACGTTCACATGTAGTGGAGTACGTTCACATGTAGTGGAGTACGTTCACATGTAGTGGAGTACGTTCACATGTAGTGGAGTACGTTCACATGTAGTGGAGTACGTTCACATGTAGTGGAGTACGTTCACATGTAGTGGAGTACGTTCACATGTAGTGGAGTACGTTCACATGTAGTGGAGTACGTTCACATGTAGTGGAGTACGTTCACATGTAGTGGAGTACGTTCACATGTAGTGGAGTACGTTCACATGTAGTGGAGTACGTTCACATGTAGTGGAGTACGTTCACATGTAGTGGAGTACGTTCACATGTAGTGGAGTACGTTCACATGTAGTGGAGTACGTTCACATGTAGTGGAGTACGTTCACATGTAGTGGAGTACGTTCACATGTAGTGGAGTACGTTCACATGTAGTGGAGTACGTTCACATGTAGTGGAGTACGTTCACATGTAGTGGAGTACGTTCACATGTAGTGGAGTACGTTCACATGTAGTGGAGTACGTTCACATGTAGTGGAGTACGTTCACATGTAGTGGAGTACGTTCACATGTAGTGGAGTACGTTCACATGTAGTGGAGTACGTTCACATGTAGTGGAGTACGTTCACATGTAGTGGAGTACGTTCACATGTAGTGGAGTACGTTCACATGTAGTGGAGTACGTTCACATGTAGTGGAGTACGTTCACATGTAGTGGAGTACGTTCACATGTAGTGGAGTACGTTCACATGTAGTGGAGTACGTTCACATGTAGTGGAGTACGTTCACATGTAGTGGAGTACGTTCACATGTAGTGGAGTACGTTCACATGTAGTGGAGTACGTTCACATGTAGTGGAGTACGTTCACATGTAGTGGAGTACGTTCACATGTAGTGGAGTACGTTCACATGTAGTGGAGTACGTTCACATGTAGTGGAGTACGTTCACATGTAGTGGAGTACGTTCACATGTAGTGGAGTACGTTCACATGTAGTGGAGTACGTTCACATGTAGTGGAGTACGTTCACATGTAGTGGAGTACGTTCACATGTAGTGGAGTACGTTCACATGTAGTGGAGTACGTTCACATGTAGTGGAGTACGTTCACATGTAGTGGAGTACGTTCACATGTAGTGGAGTACGTTCACATGTAGTGGAGTACGTTCACATGTAGTGGAGTACGTTCACATGTAGTGGAGTACGTTCACATGTAGTGGAGTACGTTCACATGTAGTGGAGTACGTTCACATGTAGTGGAGTACGTTCACATGTAGTGGAGTACGTTCACATGTAGTGGAGTACGTTCACATGTAGTGGAGTACGTTCACATGTAGTGGAGTACGTTCACATGTAGTGGAGTACGTTCACATGTAGTGGAGTACGTTCACATGTAGTGGAGTACGTTCACATGTAGTGGAGTACGTTCACATGTAGTGGAGTACGTTCACATGTAGTGGAGTACGTTCACATGTAGTGGAGTACGTTCACATGTAGTGGAGTACTTCCACATGTAGTGGAGTACCTTCACATGTAGTGGAGTACGTTCACATGTAGTGGAGTACGTTCACATGTAACGGAGTACTTTCACATGTAGTGGAGTACATCCACATATAGTAGAGTACTTTCACATGTAGTGGAGTACCTTCACATGTAGTGGAGTACGTTCACATGTAGTGGAGTATGTTCATATGTAGTGGAGTACTTTCACATGTAGTGGAGTACGTTCACATGTAGTGGAGTACGTTCACATGTAGTGGAGTACCTTCACATGTAGTGGAGTACGTTCACATGTAGTGGAGTATGTTCACATGTAGTGGAGTATGTTCACATGTAGTGGAGTATGTTCACAGAGTGGTATCTAGGGATCGACCGATATGGGTTTTTTAGGGCCGATACCGATACCGATTATTAGTAGTCAAGAAAACCGACAACCGATATTTAGAACTGATATTCATTTGCAGTAAAAATTAAAATTTTGGTGTCACAATTTAGAATAACACACCTGGGATTAGACTGAATACAACAGTATACTGTTTGTTTGTTTTTGTACTTTACTAAAGGATAATTTTTAAGGTACTTGTACTTTACTTTTCCATTTGATGCTACTTCTGTGGCTGTGGAGCCACAGAAGAAACTGTTGTCACACAGACAACAGTTTCTTCTCAGCGCGACACACACACACACACACAAGCAAGCGCCATACCGACCATACACAGCTGAAATGCACTGAAGCAAACTTCTACATGTCCGTTAGCTTTAGCAGCCGATGTGAAGTAGTTTTAGACGACATCATTGTTTCCAATGGCTGCCTGTTGCGACTCGCGAGCAACCGTGTGTGGGGGGGGGGGGGGGGGGGGGGGGGGGGGGGGGGGGGGGGGGGGGGGGGGGGGGGGGGACAGACACTGAGATACAGTATGAAAATGGCGTGTTTATCAAGCATCAACAGTGGTGTCTTTAGAACTTCAGCATAGAGGATTTCTTATTGCAACTTCGACATTTTCTGTTGCCTTGCCTTCAAACATCACACTGCTGCTTCACGGACAATCCTCTCTCCGCTCCTCTCTCTCTGTGTGCCTGCAGCGCTGCATCTACCTTCAGTGTTGATTGGCTGTCACTCACTTGTGCCGTGTAACCAATCAGTGGGGGCTGTAGGCGGGACATTTGTTACACAGCACGGAGTGGAGACTTCAGGCAGACAGGCAGAGAGAGATGGCTGCATGAGAGCCAAAGGAGCGCGTTTTAATTAAAATAAACATATTTTAATTAAAAAAAACATATTTTGTCAGCTATCGGTGGAAAAAACGGCCGATGCCGATTATCATAAAAATGCTGAATATCGGCCGATACTATCAGCGGTGCCAATTATTGGTCGATCCCTAGTGGTATCAGTACTTTTACTGCAGTGAAGGATGTGAATACTTCTTCTCCTCCTGACTGCCCTTGTCCCTCAGCTGACAGTGAAACTAAACTCTGTATTTGACAGTCAGTCGTCAGCTCAGTCTGATGTTGGGTGGAGCGTCTCTTTAAACACCCACAGCTGAACTGGTCATACTGGGCCAGCCCCGACAGGAGAGACAGAGACAGACAGAGGACAGGCAAAGGTGTTCGTACCTCACGTCTTCATAGAAGCTGTCCAGCTCGTCTCTCTGCTCGGCCAGAGACAAGTCCAGGTCCAGGTAGTTTCCATTAGGGGACAACTGAAGGGTGCACTCCTCCAACTGAGGGACAGACAGAGAGACATTGTCAGATAAAAGACAGACAGACAGACAGACAGACAGACAGACCCAGCATGCATCTGGGCAACAGAGTCATGTTAACAGCCTATTATTTTCTCTACATGGTGTTCTATGATTATATGATTAGTTATTAGGAGTGAAAACAGTTACACAACATCAAACTGGCTTTAGTTCAATAATTTACATTATAAACTTCCTCCAATTAAAAAAGCATTTAACAGTTTTAAATCCATTTAAATACAGTTTTTACTTATGATGTAAATACTGTTCATATATTTTAGTGTTGAAATAATAAATCCTCATCATGCTGATGACTTAAAATTTGGCCCATTTAGTGACCCTGACCTGGTGAACCCACTGGTTGCTCTGGTTGTGAACATTAAATTGTATTACTGTAATTATAGCATTCTCTGAAACAAGAATTTTCCTTTAGGATAAATAAAGTTCTATTGATTTGAATAAAATTGAATGATTGTTAAAATTCAGAGTCAAAATCTGGTTTGTTGCTGAGTAGGTTAAGGAAATGTAATTTGGTGGTTTGTTGTAAAACTCCCAAAAAAAGGGAGAGAAAATTAAATTGAAAATAAAAATAAAGTTAAAATTAGAAATAAAAGCCAATGTTGCAAAAATCAAGAATATAAATATACTTGAGAATAAAAGTTATAATTAAAATATGAAGATTAAAGTGGAACACTTATAAGTCAGAGTTAAAATGAAAGATCTGTGTCGTTTGTGCAGGAACGTGCAGAGAGTCACAGTTTGAGGTTTGAAATCAGTGTGCGTTAAATCATAACAATTGGATCAAGTTATTCAGATATGAAAACAGTGTCTGCACAAATATCTGCATCCAACTGCATCTCTGTCAACTCCACAGGATTAATTAGGGTTACAGCAGTGTGAGATTTCACAATACGATGACCATCTCAGAGGACACTGTAGTATCACAGCATTGATCTCATGATCAGTCAGAATGATCCTTAAAGGAGTGAAAACAGAAGAGTTGTTGTTGGTTGAGCTGCATTTTTGTCCAAATCAAAGAAAAGCAAATGCACACAGTGTGATGACTGACAACTTATATATCAAAGTATTCCTTGAAAGCGTTGCATCACTCAAACTGAACACATATTATAACATGAACCTTCATGTCTGTGTGACAGAAGGAAACAAGCTCAGCTGGTGTCGTGTTTGACAGTGAAACTGATCCTGGATCAGCTGCTGTAATGAAACATAAACACAACCAACTGAACCTGTTCTGCTGACGAGGTCAGGTTGTTATTTCTACATCAACACCGTCATCATCAAACAACACCGGGAAGAAATATTCAGACATGATTATGTCATGATATCAGTTATGATCAGATCTGAACTGAGACTCCTCTGGTTTCTCAAACTAAAGACTAAGGTCATCATATTTCACTGAAGCTGAACCAAAAACTAAAACATAGTTTAGAATCCCTGCAACCACAATCACCGGTTGTATGACTCCACCCACCAACCCCACTCTGTGGTTGTATGACTTTGTGCCAGATCTAAAGAAATTCCCTCAGAGTGTTCCTGAGATATCACCTCCACAAGGATGGGATGAAGTATGAAACAATAATGGCTCCTGAACTGAAACTAACATTAAAAACTGAACCAAAATCAAAACTATAAAATTCTGCTAACCATTTCCATCACACGTCCTCTGCACGTTACAGACGTCTGATGTGGTGACGGAGTGTCAGAGGGCACAGACAGGAAATCAAACTATGTTCAACACTATGAGGATGATGATGACTTATTATTATGCCTCAGCACAGGAACATGACATCGTCTCCTCCCTGACTTCATTCATTAAACGATTTAATGCTCCGCCCTGTCACGACGCTGACGCATCATAGAGATTATCTGACACAAAGTCTGTGAGCGCTCCGTGTTTACAGACCCAAGATTCTTCTTCTGTTTTCACTGTGGGTTTAATGTGAGTCAGAGCTGAAGGAGAAGTAAATGAGGAGAGGAGGTGTGCAGGGAGGGGACGGAGGAGAGGAGGTGTGCAGGGAGGGGACGGAGGAGAGGAGGTGTGCAGGGAGGGGACGGAGGAGAGGAGGTGTGCAGGGAGGGGACGGTGTATAATAATGTGCGTGGATCTCTTTAATACGTCTGTCTCAGCGGTCGTCAAACATCACTTCATGCATCTGTTCATGTCTGTTTATTTTCATATGTTTTGAATTGTCCTCTGACTGTGTGTCGCTGCAGCACATTAATATTCTCATGTCTGTAAGTGAAACAGAACAAAACAGAAATGAAAATAATACAAACAGTAACATCAGTCAACACTGAATAAAATCATTTATATTCTGTTTCATGATCTTGTGTCGTGTTAATAAGGTGCTCCATGTACGTAAATCAAACCAACCCACAGTGTAGCTGTGTGTCCTGCAGGTGTGGCTCAGTGACACATGATCCACTGAGAGTGACCTACATCACACACACACAGTGTCATTCATAGAGACAAGCACAACTACACACCTGTACTACACACCTGTAAGACTAGAACTACACACAAGTCTAATCACTTCATCACTGAGTCCAAGTGAATTTTTGTGCATAATTTGAAAAATTGAGATATCACGTCACATGACTGCGATGGAAAGACGGACAAACTGAAGTCATGATGCGTCTGGTCACAGCTATCGCCATCATGGAGTCATAGTAAGTTAGACTCCTTCAAACAGATCAGCAGAACGTCAGGTTCAGAGGAAGTTTGTGATGAAACACTGTTCATCATTTAATCAGGATGAAGTCTAATAACTCTAAGTCTAACTTCTCAGTTCATTGTTCAGAGCACAGTAAAAAAAAAAACACACATCACATTTTCCTCGAGCCAAAAGTGATGTCATCAGGTGTGTTGGTTATGTCACAGATTTTGCCCGTTGCTCCGACACACAACAGTTTTGATTAGTCCGACTAAAACTGGACTTTTAAAATCCCTGTAAACATGTCAGTGTGAGTGAAATGTTCCTGCAGTGAATGTGTCACAGTGGGACTAACACACCCAGATCATGTGACTCCTGCATGTATACAGTCAATCAGACCCAAACTGGCCGAGGCGCTCTGAGCATGCTCCACAGTTTCCGCCCCGGGCTTTGACCCGGAAGTCCAATAGCATTAAATGTGTAAGAGAAGAAGAAGCCGGTAACAACATGGAGAAATCTACATCCAGAGCCGTGACTTTTTGGACGGACCAAATGTACAGAGCTGTAAAGTTGTCCACCATGGTAGCAGTTAGCTGCTAGCTAACCGTAGCTAACTTGTTTGTCCATTGTTTGGTCTGTGACGTAATAGGTCAACAGGAAAAAGGTCAAATACTAACAAGCTGAAAGGGGGCATATCTCCACCTATCGTAGAGGAGTCGCACATACTTGGCTCAATAAATGGATTCCCCTCCCGTGCTTGTATACTGGGACAAGGACAGTAGGCCAGTTAGATGTCCTCGTCCAGCTGGGACTGGAGCTCCACTTCACTGTTTCCATGGAAACGCACTGACAGGTGTAACGAGTGATGGAGGGGAACCAGTATCGATATGCAAACAAATATTTAAGGACGCTTCTGCGTGCATCTAATCTGATGAAGAGAATGTGCTCACACAGATTTAGTTGTGACTCTACAGTTTTGTGGATCCAGCTGCAGGTGGTTTAAACCCAAACCTGATCTTTTCCAAACCACAACCAAGTGGCCTTTGTGCCTGAAGCTAAACACCTGTGAACCACAGCGTTGTTGAAATGAAAAGTCTGAAGGTATCTGCTTCATAATGATGTTCAAACACAACGTATCTGTGGTTTGTACAAACACTTGTTCTGCAGGCTGGACTCATCAACACGCTCCTGATGTAACGTTCTGTCTGCTGATGTCTGATCAGCTGATGTTATCGTCGTCCTCTAAACAGACGTCCTGCAGGTCGTCTGTGATGCAACACACCTGGTGCTCACCGTCACAGTCTGATGATGTCACACATGTTTATCTGTCATTAACTCCTCAGTATCTGATCTTTGCAACACGACACACACTCTGTGCAGCCGACATGACAACAGATCAACTTTCCTCTCTTTTTTCCTCCGTGCAGTAAACACAGTGTTTGAGTGAAAGTGAGGTCACGTTAGAACGCTTTCTGTCTATTTATAGTCCGGTCCTGCGGCTCAGCTGGCAGCGTCTCGTAGCTCTGAGTCATGGTCAGGTATGAAGCTGGAATCAACGCGGCCACAAAACAACCAGGTCTGATAGTGAGCAGCTGAAAACACACTGCAGAGTATCTGAACCAGCAGAGCTGCATTCTTCTGACAACAGCAACACCGCCACACACACTCTCAACACACACTCTGAATACACACTCTGGATACATGTACACACTCTAATGAAGCTGGAGTGTGTGTTCCAACACATGACATCATGGTTTAAACTGTTAAAACTCTGTCAAAGGTCGTTCACAGACTTTTTTCTGGAGCATTTATAAGAAGACTTCAACACAACATTAGTGAAGCTCCAGACTCTTTGTCACGCTGTAGGTGTGAAACTTACAGTAACGTACTTCCTGTCAGCACTGACACCTGTCAGGTACTACGAGTCTGCAGATATTACTGAGTGAAGTCCAGAGGTGGAGGGACTCACACCTCTGACTGAAGTTAACTCAGAGCTGGTTGGTGTTCTCACGGCAGCGTTTACAAGCCGACCACATCATGTTGAATCTGTGAAGACACCTCTGTTCTTCTCTCATCATGTCTCCATAGCAAACAAACATGGTAAAAACTTTTGCCTAAAACTTTATGATTTCAGTACAAATGGTCTCGTGCACAGTGGAGCAGCGTGTCTGTGCACGAGACTGGATTTGAACTGTGCCCAAGTGGAGCTCATACTCACGTGTGTGCACGTGCTCAGGGCGCGCTATTTGTATGAGGTAGTATTTTAAATCATTATCTTTGGAGTTAAAGTTGTGTTTGATCGTCTGA